TGTAAAGACCATTATCAAGATGGACCACTCATGTAATTTATCAAGACTTATCTATCCTGACATACCATTCATGTTGTTAGGAAGGAAAGCGAACACATTTTAAAATTTATAATCAGGTCATCCAAAATGACGGTGGGTCGTGGAAACTGGTGATGGTAGACGACAACAAGACCAACGGCTTTGCCCCGCCCATTTTCCAACACGTGCTGCGCTCCAACTACTTCCACACGTTCTTCCACGTGCTGGTACTGGTAGATGCCAGTATCGCTGCCAGCCTTGAGTTTGACCACCATCTCAAGCTGCCACAGAACAAATACGACAACATTTACTACGCTGAGGTATGCTGTAGGTGCATGGTATTTTTTGCTGGGTTTTTTTTCTTTCTTTTTTTTTTTTTTGGGGGGGGGGGGTGGAGGGGCCGACTGGCGTCTGCAATATAATAATGAAAATAATATTAATCATAAAAATAGTAATAATAGGCCTAATAGTAACCATAAAAATAATAATAATAGTAATAATGATAATAATAATAATCATAATAATAACAATAATAACAATAATAATAATAACTAGCTGGGCCCCCTTTCGATGAAAGGAATGATCGGTGCATTAACATCAACTGAAAGTCATTGGCCTACTATATTTACACTCTACTGGAATGGAGCAATAAATCTTGAGTGAACAGTGACACATGTGTTCCAAGTTGCCAAATATATAATAGATGTATAGATTGATTCTCTATTCTGCTTTCTTGGTTGTACACTATATCATTTCAAAGGTGTGGAATCAGTGCGCACAGCTAGTGAATGGAAACCTCACTTGTTTACAATGGCGTCTTGGAAGATGGACTTCCCAAGATTTTCAGACGGCCAAAGTGTCGAACTTTCACAAATATAATATATAGAGAAAATAGATAGCATTTGTGTAGTGCAGTTCTGTTTTCTTTTTTCTTTGGATGAGCATCTGTGATGTTTTCCCCCTGTTTTTCTCTCAGATAACATTATTATGTGATAATTTTCCCTTGTTCATCTCCCAGATAACATTATTATGTGATAATTTCCCCCTGTTCTTCTCTCAGATAACATTATTATGTGATAATTTTCCCCCTGTTTTTTTCTCAGATAACATTATTATGTGATAATTTTCCCTCTATTTTCCTCTCAGATAACATTATTATGTGATAATTTCCCCCTGTTCTTCTCTCAGATAACATTATTATGTGATAATTTTCCCCCTGTTTTTCTCTCAGATAACATTATTATGTGATAATTTTCCCTCTGTTTTCCTCTCAGATAACATTATTATGTGATAATTTTCCCTCTGTTTTCCTCTCAGATAACATTATTATGTGATAATTTTCCCTCTGTTTTTCTCTCAGATAACATTATTATGTGATAATTTTCCCCCTGTTTTTCTCTCAGATAACATTATTATGTGATAATTTTGCCTCTGTTTTTCTCTCAGATAACATTATTATGTGATAATTTTCCCTCTGTTTTTCTCTTTGATAACATTATTATGTGATAATTTTCCCTCTGTTTTCCTCTCAGATAACATTATTATGTGATAATTTTGCCTCTGTTTTTCTCTCAGATAACATTATTATGTGATAATTTTGCCTCTGTTTTTCTCTCAAATAACATTATTATGTGATAATTTTCCCTCTGTTTTTCTCCCACATAACATTATTATGTGATAATTTCCCCCTGTTCTTCTCTCAGATAACATTATTATGTGATAATTTTTCCCCTGTTTTTCTCTCAGATAACATTATTATGTGATAATTTCCCCCAGTTTTTCTCTCAGATAACATTATTATGTGATAATTTTCCCTCTGTTTTCCTTTCCCCCTGTTCTTCTCTCAGACAACATTATTATGTGCTTGCTAGTTTTCCTCTGCTCTTCCCTCAGGTGGTGTTGACTGTGATTTTTGCGCTGGAAGCTCTGTTCAAGATCTGGTGTTTGGGGTTCAGAGGTTACCTCAAGAGGTCTCTTCATGTCTTTGAGCTGGTGTTGGTGTTTGGCACTTCTCTTCACATCATTCCAGTCTTATACCGCACACCTTTCACCTGTTTCCAGGTGAAGTATATCAACACTTTGCGATATCATTTTTCTCCTTTTATATCCTTTACATTACCTGTTTCCAGGTGAAGTATATCAACGCATTGCGATATCATTTTTCTCCTTTTATATCCTTTACATTATCCCACTTTCAATGCATGAAAAGCAAGCTTTGTAATTTTATAGCCGCTTTGTTCTTGGTTACAGTGGTTCCTTTGTCCTTTATTGTCTCACTCACTCACTCACTGTCCGTCTCTGTCTTGCTTTCTCTCTCTCTCTATCTTTCTCTCTCTGTCTCTCTCTTTCTCTCTCTCTCTCTCCCCCCCCTCTCTCTCTCTCTCTCTCTCTCTCTCTCTCTCTCTCTCCCTCCCTCTCTCCCCCCTCTCTCTCTCCCTCCC